TCTATAAGAAGTATTTCATGAATAATATCTCTAAAAGATAACAGACGATTATTAATGATTTCTATATGAATAAGTTTAGTTTTTTGTACTATTAGTATTTTATGACTTTTAACAAATTGTATATCTAAGAAATAAGTTGAGGCTGTTAAATCTATCAAGGCAAAGGCTTTATAATTATTAGGTTCTAAATGTATATGTATTATAAAATAAGGAAAGGGTTCTGAAAAAAGGATATGACCTTCATTAGAAATTGTATAAGATTCCAGCTCCATAGTCTCTACCTAGACAAATTCGTTTTCTGACATATTTTCTTCTTTCACAGTTGTGCTCTTCATTTTGTACTTTTGTCTTTTCTTTAGACAATGTTGAGCATTGTGTTTAGATTCTCCATAATATAATAACAATCCTTCTTAATGGTGATGAGTCTTTTCTTACTTGGTAAGAGATTTAAAATGTATCGCATCAATTTGTATATCTTCTACTTTTGAATATATGTGTTGAGGAGATGTTGGTATTGCTATCAAATTATAGTAATATTGAGGCCCATTTATGCGACTCTCAAATTGAAATTCAAAAAGCTAATTATCACATTTGATTGCAAAGTCAATTTTTTGACTTAATGTTTGATAATCAAGTAAATTGAGCATCAATTTCTTTACTTCATATTATAATCTATAGAAAAATTGGCTAATAAGTGCAGTATCATCCCACTTGATAACAGTTACAAGTTGTTAAAATTGTAAAGCATATAATGTTACAAATGAATTATTTTGTCTCAAATATGAATCTTGTTGGTTGCAATACGAGTTACATGATTTTTTCCATACATGGATAGAAATTTTGCCAAAAATGCCTCAAGATTATCCAATATTTGATCTCGTCATTCAAGAAAAGATGAAAACCATTGTCGTAATGTGTGAAGTCTTGCTTAAGAATGCTCCGGGCACCTGGCTATAGAAGAAAGAATAGAAATTGCGATAACAAATCCTAATTCTAATAGAATACTAACAATGCTCTAATTAGATTATAATAATGATAAACAAATGTAATCAAATTCAAAACAACTCAAAGAAATTTCAAAAAAACAATAAAATTCTTAAAGAAATATTAGAATGATGACAAATGTTACTCAAATATATGTCAATTCAACCTTAATTTAATTCTAGTTAAAACCCTATTGAATTTCACTCAAACTTTAGACCAAACCTAATTAAATCTTAAACTCTAATAAATCCTAAATCCTAAGTTAAATCCTAAATAAACCTTAAATTAAACCGTAAATCAAACTCTATTTAAAATCCTAAACCCTAAACCAAACCTTAAATCAAATCCTAATCCAAATCCTAAATCAAATCCTAACCAAACCCTAAACCCTAATCCAAATTCTAATCCAAACCCTAAATCAAATCCTAATCAAATCCTAAATCCTAACTCAAACCCTAATCCAATCCTAAACCCTAACCAAACCCTAAATCCTAATCCAATCCTAAACTCTAAATCAAACCCTAAATCGAACCCTAGCCAAACCTTAATCCAAATCCTAGTAATTCCTATGACAGATTTAAATCTCAATATCTAATGAATAAATCGTTGATCTCAATTCAAAATTTACATACTTCTTAAAAATCAAGTTTAAAATAAGCACAAAAAAATTTGAAAAGGATCGGAGTTACCAAATTGACGAAAACCTCAAAAATATATTCGGGTGTTAGCCGGCCTCCTTCTCCAATCTTGATGCCAACCTTTCAAAGCCAATTTCTCTTCTTTGCACCGTTCGATTGGTTTCAAATTTCTCATGGACATAGAAAAACAAGTCTAATACCCTCTCACACAAGTTTTACTCCAATCCAACTAGTAGATTGCATGAAATCTTAAAAATCCTCACTGGACCTAAAATTCTACTTTTTGAGACCTTGACTCACTTAAACCTCAATATCTCTCACTTCAACCATTAGATCGAGCTCAAATTCACAACATATATTTAATAAAACTATAATCATGAACCCAAAAATTTCACCCATAGATCTGCAACAAAACTCTCAAAATCACTCAAAACATAAACCCTATTTTATTTCATAAAACCCAAGTCATCCGAAACAAACCTCCCCTTTGCAAAGCTCTTACAAAGTCATATCAACTTCAAATCACCCAAAATCAATGCCCATAGAAACCCTATCCAATCTTCTATCAAACCGCACTCTCTGATCTACCAAAGAGTCCCGGAGTCGTCGTCGAGACTCAGTTTTGTGCCTCAGGGTCTGATTTCGATCCTAGTTCATAACCAGTCCTCTCCGGGTATCAACTTTTGTCTTCTTGAGGTAATTTTTACTAATTTGCACTCCTAACTCCTCCCTATATATGTCTATATTCTTTATTTTTTTAATCTACCTCATTTTGCTTTATTTATGGCCTTACAAAGTAAATAGAAGCATAATTTGTAAAAAGGCAGCATTAGCACCTTTAATTTTTCTAACCTTTTACTAATATCTATTTTTCCAAGATAATTTGCTACAATATTTTTGAAGTGAGATCTTCAAAACATGATATATTTCTTCACCCTTTCACCTACTAGTCACCTACTAGTCACCTACTACTATAGTATATTAATGAATCTAACTTATGATTTAGGAGTTGGATAGCTTTGAGGTTGAAGTTCAACCACAAGTTGTACTTGATTGATAAATCCTCGAATTTTGGATCTTGTACCATGAAACATCTCGGACATAGCAACTCTTGGTTTTTTACCACTTAAAGGATATTACACCATGGGTGGAGGGACATAAGTTGGTGCAGATATTGAAGCAACTCTAATCATCTCTATATCGTCACTTTTTGCTATTCTTGTTCATCCTTGTGGTGATATATTAAGTTGAGGTATTATAAGCATCAACTTTCTCAATTGCTCTTGCATTTGTACTATTGCATTCTTCATTTCAATAAGCTCTGCCATAATAACACTCAAAAAAAATATCTAATATTGCTCAAGACAAGTAGAAAAAAAGGCTTGAAGACAAAGAAAATACTAAGTATAATATTAATTTGGAAGAAGGTAATCTGCAACTTCTAATATGCTAAACTCTCTATAGTTAGGTACTCAATATATTCATAGATAGAAAATCATGCCATACAACAACTACAATCCACAAACATATATCAAGAAAAATCTGTATATGTTCATATATATTTTGGATATGTCAATATTTTGTAAATAAATAAATAAATAAAATAAAATAAAATAAAATACTTATTTTATTATAAAGTAATATTATTTTATATTAGAAAAAACTCACAAAACATAACATCAAAATTTAATTCATGTGATTTAATATTAGAATGAAAATTCCTATCAATTGAAAGCATGACAAATTCTATTTGTAAGAAATCTAAGTTGTGAGCTACGAGCTTTGAGAAATAGGCACATCACGACACAATACAATAGAAAGTAGTACATGACAAAGAACACAATAAATTCCACTTAGATGAAATACAAGCTGTAGCTTTTAGCTTTGAAAAACAAATACAAAAAAATAACATAACATGACCAATAACACAATAAATCCCACTTGCGAAAAATCTGAGCTTTAAGCTTTAAAAAACAAGCACAATAAAACAACACAATACAACCGAGAGCATAACTCGACAAGAGCTAGTACAACAACAAGTAGAACATAAGATGCACCTAGGCAACAATCTTGATAGATAAAGCTATTATTGGAAATTCTTGAAATCGTAATAACTTGGATCTTAGAAAATCCAATAACTTTACATTCCTTACATTCTTAGAATTCTTTCTTAATAGCCAATCAAATTGTGGTTTTGTCTCTTAATCTTATATGCAAGCTATTTTATATAATAGATATATTTCACAATATAATATCATTAGTCAAGCCTCATACTAATTTCCATTAAATTGTCAAATATACACAATTTTAAAAATCCACATGACTTAGTTCAATTTTAGAATTATAAAAACTTCTTTCAAAAGAACCATAATGTAGTATTATACTCAAAAAGAATAATAAACCAATGCAAATGAATGCTATTATACATGATGTCTTGTTGCTCCCATAAACTCTTCCTTTTAATATGACAATAAGATTTTAATTATCATCGTTGTCATCGCGCCTTCCTCCCTTCTTTCTTTCCTTTACTCTTTGATTATAATTAATAACAATAATATTATTTTCTGGTGCTTGCTTCAATCTTAACAAAGCACAAGAGCACACACTCCCATAAATAACATCCTCCACCAAACAGATCACGACATGTGTCAAACACGTGGATAGGCCCATGTGTACAATAAGTTTCGGGGAAAAGGATTGTGCCTCGGGCATCTTCCTCTTCCACATATTCACACTCGTGAACCCACAATGGTAAGTCTAGAGCACGGAAAAGAGACACGCAAAAATCAAAAGCAAAAAGGCAAAAGTATGGGACGGAGAAAAAGCAATTGCAACGTCTTTGTCCGTCACGTTTGGTGCCACGGCGATGGGTGCATTTTTTTTTCTTTTTTTGGCGAAGTGGTGACACAAGCTCCTTGGGTCCCATGACCACGCTCACTTAATAAAACAGAGTATCGTGCTTGAGTTTTTCATTCACAAAATGAGCCAACTTCTGCCGCGAATTGTTTACGAAAATCTTACCAGCGTTTTCTTTCTGTTTTTTCTTCTTTTCATACTTGTGTTTTTTTTTTTTTTTTTTAAATCGTGAATGATAAGACTGGTTATCGCTGAAGTTTGATGCGGTGAATATTCTTTTGAACCGACATGATGTGCTCGATTTGGCGAGTTTTTTTTTACAGTTTGATTTTAACACGAAGTGTATTTTCTTGAAGTTACATTGCTAAAGCTGTTTGGATCGCAGCTGGAGTTTTCAGATTGGGAAGAAACAAGTGGATGGATGAAAGAAAGAGAGATCGACGACATTGAGACGGTGAATTTGGTCCCCAATCGCCTCGCGCTTTCAAACCATTGCGTGTTCGCACAATTCCTCTGGTTCCACCACCTCCCTCCACCACCGATGCAACGTTTTCAACGACGTTTCTTTCCCGCGCTTCGCGCTTTTACTGAGCTGGTGCAGAGCCTTTTGTGTTTTGTTTTTCTGGTCTGCGTGCGTTGTTAGTGCGCTTTAGAGTCAGTGGCTTGTAACTCTTTGTGGGTTCGTGCTATTTTTGAGTCGGGTTTAGTTTTTCTTTCAGTTAATGGTGCTAGAAGAGTTCTGGGAGGAGCCTGTCAGTGGAGACACCGATAGGGTGGAATTCGCGTTGTGCTGCATTCCGCCTGAAGGAGAGATTTTATTATTTTTGCGAGATTTAGCCTAGCGCCTCCGCGGTTGAGAATTGCGCCGGTGGTATGTTTCACTACGTCCTTCCGTAAATTTCAGGTTGCTGCGGATTTTGCCTTTAGTTCGGGGCTCTGCAAGTGTTACTATTGTTTCCACCTAGCGCGGGTACCGCATTGATAGCGAGCATCTGGTGCTTGGGTTCGTGGTCGTGTAGATCACGTTTACGTACATGGTTTTTTGAGATTGTATGGAGAGGACTGATTTCGAGGTGAATGGGGGTGGAGATAGGGAGGGGCAGCGAAGATGGGAGAAACGCCGGTTCCTGACAATGTGGCAGAGCTCTTGGTGGTGCGGCACGGCGAAACAAGCTGGAATGCTTTGGGCCGGCTTCAGGTATTACCATCTCGACCCTACTCCAAAAATGCTTTTGCCTCTCTGCGTGCGTGCATTACCGTCATTAGATCGTCAATTTCCCAACGTACTGCAGGTGGAAATGTTCTCCTTTGTATCGTGTCGGGTTCAATTCCATTGTTGTTTTTTCTGGCCTATACACACTCATGGTAGCTCGAAATGCCAAAGGGTGCACAGAAGCAATGGTTGTAGGGTCAGACAAAATCCCTGTGGATGCAGTATAGCACTTAGCAATGCAGGATGTGCACGTTTAGATTAGATCCTGTTTCAACAAAATTTTGAAACAGAATTCAACACCAATTCTATCGATGGAAGGTTTCATCCAGTGTAGAAAGCTGCAGAAAATGTTGTTTTCAATCTCTAGTCGAGCAAATTGCGAACTCGATGCTCGTCAGCCGGTTAGATTGTCCTCCAGTACATCAGACATATTTGACTTAAATTGGGGCTGTAATTTCTTAAACCCTAGACAAGATGCCAATTGGTGTTGTTGCTGTTGGGAGTGTTGAAGAGTAACTTAAGATGTGTGCATTTTTCAGGGGCAGGCAGAATCGGACCTAAACGAACCTGGCAAGAAACAAGCGCAGGCAGTTAAGTTTGTAGTGCTTTTTGAATTTTTTTCTCCAGAGAGGTGCGCTGTTGTTATTCCACTAGCACTTTTGTCTTCATGTTTTTTGATTCACTGAAAATTGTGTTTCTTTTCAATTTTCACTGAGGCTGTTTCTTTGGCATTGTTCTTTAGGTGGCTGACAAGTTAGCAAGCATGGGTCTAGAATTTGCTGCTGTATATACTTCAGATCTACATAGAGCTTTAGATACAGCCCAATCTATTGCTGAAAAATGCCAGTGCTCCAAGGTATGGATGATTTCTGAAATAATTTCTTCTGAAAGTCAATTTCTCAGAAGAGTGCTGCACTTGTATGCACTTTGACAATTACGTGCGATCGATCCTGCATCATATAAAAGCCACATCGTCAGGCAGCTTAATCTCTTTCCAGCTAGTTCCATTGTCAGATTTGTAATGATCGAGGTTAAAGCAGATTGTTGTTAGAGAGGATCTTCGTGAAAGATGTCTAGGGGATCTGGAGGGTCTGACACGCACTGAGGCGAGAACGGCAGCACCAGAGGCTTTAAAAGTGTTTATGAAGAACGATGACTCCCTTCCAATACCAGTACGATCAGCAGCACCACATCCTAAAGTTTTACATGTTTCACAGTTACTAAGAACAATTTCTTTTCTGTTGGTTATCATGATTCACATGCTCTAATTACTCGATGGCCCAATCAACTTCGTCATGGTTAATCATCCGACTCAAGTTCGATAACCGATTCCTTGTGTAGGGTGGAGGGGAGAGCCTGGAGCAGCTGTTTGTGCGTGTCCAAAATAGTTTCGAACAAGTTGCTTTAGAGAATCTTGGTGAATTTCTGTCCACACATTTAAGGGCGCTATCAAGTACTAGAATACTAGGTGTTATCTTTAATCGATTGAATTTTCGTTCGTATTTATGTTTTGTTGAGCACTAGATTTTTAGGTTGGATAGTGGGTGAGGCTTCGACCCCAACATCCTAAAGCAGCATTGAAGATGGGCACAGAATTTGTATTTGTGGCAGCATTGTTGTTGTTATTGTTGTGATGAGAGTCCCGTGGGCTGTGCAGGCAAAAGGGTTGTGGTAGTCACTCATGGTGGAGTGTTGCGAACCAGCCACATTATTGCGAAAGGGCTGCCATGTCCCGGCAAGGTCGTGAATGCTTCCATCAGCGTCTTCCACATCTCTGATGATAAAGATTGGACGATCATTTCATGGGGTGACGTTAGCCACTTGCAGAACATTGGGTTTCTGAATACTGGATTCGGAGGGGATAAGCTATCAGGGTAGAACTTCCGCTCTCAGCTCATAATTCAAACATATTATTCCGAGCCTCAGTAGGCATCGACCTGCTCGTGAGGTAGGTAAAATTGTCATATGTATTACATTTCTGCATGTAACAACCATTGAAGGGGATGGGGTAACTATTACAACCGCCGTTATTGGTCATTTAAATTGAGATGTATTAGTTCATGTTCATGACTACAAATGATCCTTGAACATGTTTGTTTTTGGGTCATTCAGAAATAAATTAAACAAGTGATAGTCTGTGTTTCACGTTTTGAGCATAATTTCATCCTTTCCAAGTGCCCAAAGAAGTCTTAGATGCATTGCTACTAATTTTAGCCCTTCACCTAGCAATGTCCAAGGGATCTATCCCATGTTACTGTTGATAATGAGGAAATGAACACCAAATGATTCTGAACCCAGCCTGACTTTCACTAAATGGGAGTGCCCCATGGAAATTATAAGTTAAAACACCTCACCTGAGTGTGAACCCCTGTACGATCCTAATAAAAATACCTTGTTTCAGGTCTGCTACAAGTACCTCATTTGAAATCTACAACGACGCCACCTAGAGAAAGGGGCGTTTTGCTACATGACCCAACCCAGGCCTACGTCTTTGCTGATTTCTTCACAGCAGCATTGGTAACCTTCTCCTTGATTTTTGATAGACGAGGAGACTTTTTGGGGCTAGGATTTGCTGCAGCTCCATTTTTTCTTTTGTTACCTACCCCATGATTTTCAATCTCCTCGACAATGCTTGCTTCTATCCCCCCTGAGAAAAATACACAGCCACGAAGTGTGGAGTTGAATATTTAATAAAAAAGAACTGCGCATTTTCAAGTGTTAGGGGGGTATTGTAGCAGGCTTATATGGCATTCAGAAACTATTATTAGCAATGCATGACTACTCTTGAATTTAAGTAGTTGACAGCTGTGCCAGACTCTTGGCCGCCAAGCAGAGGTAGAGAGGAGCTCATTGAGTCTGGAAACTACATGAATTACCTGGGCAGGCTTTGGCTAGGTCTTGGACCTCACACTGATCCTTAACTGATAAATTATCCCAACCAGCCATTGCAGCTAGAGGGCTTGTCCACCATCTCAGTTTGAGGAAGCACTCAACATGTCTCCACGCAGGCTGCTTGCCACGAAAGCGAGGGTTGTCTACCATAGTTGCTACGCGCACCTGCACGAGACAAAACTTCATCTTTAGATGAAACTACCATGTGCCGTATTGTTTTCTCAAAAGTCAGGATCTGGCAGCAACAAAATTTCGAAATTAAGAAACTTGAGCAACACGCTAACAAGTACTCTTGCGAAGTCATGTTCGCACACTCATCTGAAACATGCCAGCAATTAGATTGGAAGCGTACGGATCCTGATCCTCTCATTATACATTAATGTAAGCATACTGGGACGACCTGGTTGTCACCACATAAACCACTGCTCAGAGTGAATTGCAACAGCATTTCACTTACGTGTCCTTTCTCAATCTTTTCATTACAGCTCTTGCAAATAGATCGAGAGCTCTTGGCGTTCTCAATCTCATATTCACCAGTGTTGTCTCCACTCCCTCCAGCTGTAGGCGCTGGTGTAATCGATTTGCCTCTGTTAATCTCTTCGTCCGACGCTGCCAACGACCCTGATTTCAAAAGAGCTGAAATGGTTCGTAAATGATTTTCATGATTCCCTGAGTTCAAATGGTTATGATCTATTGTGGGACTAATCCCACTTTTAATTCTCACTAAGGGAAGTGAAAGCTGTGTAATCATAACAATGAACACTAGAAGAGTGCTTGTTCAACTGGAAATATCTGACCAGGTGGAGAGAACACATCGCAAACCTTCTATGTACTTTCGCAGATTTTGCAAATCACCTGCCCTCAAGTCCTCTAATCCATCAATCTCTTCCAAACTGCAATGTAAGGTTTGTGGTCAGGAGATGACATTGATAAACCCTAAAAATGCCGATGCGAGCCTGGCTACACTACACATAATGAGAGCTCGTAAGAGTCGAATGAATAGCTTCAAAAATATTGGTACTCTGTACTTCCAAAGAAATGTGAAACATTTAACAATTCTGCCTGAATTTGCCAGTTAAACGACGGCTGCTCAAACCAGCAACTTTGAAATATCTTAGGGTATAGGCGTGCGATAGACAAGCATCCTAATTACTAGACACATTCAATTCTAGATACTTACGACTTGATTTCATTTTCATTCTGAAAGACGCAACTCGCATGATTCCACAGCTGTAAAAACCAACACATTTTGCTAATTCAGTTTCAGGAATGCGAGATGCAAAACTAACAATCGCAAATTTAGGTGACCAACTGAAACGATGGAGTTCAAAACACAAATAGAGACAAGAGTAAAGACCATGATTTTTTCATACTGTAATCATATTCCAGCGCTCACCAAAACGACGAATCATGAAGAAGTGTTTAAGATTGCAAATACTTACTGGCATTACTCCGTTAAATTGATGAGCAGTCTGAACCTTGGCCAGACGAAAAGCATCTTTGACAATGGGTTTGTTGCATGCTCTACAAGAGGACCTGGAGCTCTTGGCATATTCCGCCTTCCATGGTTTATGTGCTGATTCTATATCCTTCGTCATGTCGCTTTGTACTTCCGTGTGAACAAATACTTGTGACCTGATAGAGGAAACGGCAATACATGATGAACTTTCCAGTAGACCACCTTGAAAAACTTCAAGCTAAACACTAGACAATGAACAAGTTGTGTTCTGCAGTATGAAGTACTGACATGTAAGCTGCACCATCCAGAAGGCTACAGGGGAAGGGTAGGGAGATGCATGGTAACAAGTTTGCTTTTGCAAAGCTGACTTTCGTCACGTGTACCAAACGCAGCACCCAGGAAACCTCAGATTCTGCATATTCATCTAGACGCTACCAAGAAGTTCTCTTAACTAGGATTTTCTCAGCAGAAGTACTGACGTCTTATGTGGCATGCAATTCAACATAATTTATCAACCAATGAAATCAGAAGCACTTTATCATGTAAAAGCTCACAGCAAGAGCTCATCATGTACACTGATCAATGTCCAAGACATGCAAAGAAAAAAAATGATAACCCGATCCACATAAAGAAAATCGTAAGTAAATCGAGACACTCCATATCACGCACTAGAAACTGGTATGAGTGTTGTATGCCCAACAATGTACTCGAATTTCGGGAACCGAAAGGCCCGGAACTGTTTCAAGCTCTAACCTCTGAAGCAGAAAAACAGACAATGAAATAGCTCATGTTCACAATACAATCGAAGAAGCTATTTAACAGAATACCCATCAAAACTAACACAATCCGCCAGAGAACACGCCACAAAGCGTCACTCACCTTTCGATCAGCAAAAACTTGAAAGAAACCTCAATCGATCAACCGTTCGCTCGAACAGCAAAAAAACGAATCACCTTCTAAAGCAATGAAAATGAATCCAAAGCACAGATTGAAAATCAACGGAAGGCTGTGAGGATTGGTTCACGAGGCTACATTGGCGTCTCTTCTGCTTCACCTTATGGTGAAGCAAGGATAGAAGGCTGTCGGCGATGGCGAGCATCCGGGCAAGGTGGCATTCGCATGGAGCAACACTTGGCGATGACAACGAGGCCAAAAATCAATTTAGCTTGAATCGCTGAGCGAAAATTGCTCTCCAACAGCGTCCTGCCAAATAATATCACAATGAATGAACGTTGTTCATCTAACGGATGATATATCGAATAGACATCGATGGGTGATAACATGTGGATGAAGGGGTTTTTTAAACTGCTACTTTAGTCGAGTTTTTGGCCCCGCCTCTTGCAATTTCGAATATTGGCAGCCACCGCGCCAGCTCTGGATTCAAATTCCTATGGCGTGGTCTCACCTATTACCGCCTCGGGTCTCATTCCCGTCATGGTATGAGGTGGGATGCTTCGAAAGCACTGAGATGGTGAAGCTTAGTTGTGTGGCAGAGCTGCTATACACCATACTGCCGGACGGTGTACTTTGCTAGGGAAGGTTGGATGGAGCATGAGCATGGAAATTGGGACGAGGGTTACGATGCTGCTTGCACATGTAAATCTGAACTGTGCGTGAGGTATATCTGATGCCTTTGAGCTGATCAACTGTGAATGGAATTGCGAATTTCCCCCCACTGTGATCGTTTCGCACGGTGGTTTGTACGAGATTTAGGTGGCGATTTGCAGAAGATTATGTGAGACCTGTGAAGGTTTACGGACGTAGCAAGTTGTTGGTTAACTAGGATTGGTCATGGGTTCTAGGGGATGAAATGACGAGAAGAAGTGTTACAGCAGAATAATTCTAGAATTCGAGACAATATTATTTAAGTGAAATATGCACTAGCAGTATACTATTATCATAATGAGCGTTAATTTTACACTGCCATTAATGTGATGTTTTTTGTGATCATCCAAGCGTCTGCAGATACTAAGACGATTTGTGAAAACTTTCTTGAAGAGCGTTGTTGAACAAGGTGCCGAAGCTGTCTAACCACGAAATGAATGATGCAGCTTGCGGACTCCATGGACGCTGTTATTGAGAGCTCATTAACTGTGGACATGCTGAGCACACCTCAGAGGTTAGGTCCTATGAATGCCTTCTTCGACTCTAACATTCGAGTTTAAAACTATGCGTAGCTTGCAACAGCGTGCATTTTATTGATATTAAATTCAATGAACTCTGCGATTTGTAGAGCTCAATCATTAGCAGTAAACTAAGCTCTGGCTTTGACACCAACACTATTGACACTCAATTGATAAGAATTTTACATGCACGGATCTGAAAGTTGAAGTAGTTTCAGGAAACTAGAAGTGAAGAGAAAGGAGTGGAAGATGAAGTTCGCAGAATTCAAAAGTAAGATTCCAACAGCACAAGTATTTCAGGATCGTCAGTAATACAATCTTTCTATCATCTGCACACTATAGTTAGACTTCTCACAAAAACTTAAGCAATTCGGCTTCATTAATATAACTGGCGCCAAGTTGCTATGATATAGCTGCTCAAGTGATACTAACTGTAATAGGCTGTGGTTGAGAGGAATACACACACACAGATATAAATATACTTATATATATATATATATATATATGCAAACACAAATATTCTGCTCAATTCAAAGAAGGGTTTGAAGACTATAATATGCGACTCGTTTTTCTGTACTTTTCAAGATATATTGTGATCTTATTAACATCTTCGGCCATTGAGGTGTTTCACGTACTTCGAGGCTGCGACTTCATATAGATGAGCTTGAAACCCTCAATATTGTTAGCAAGTATAATGTGGTATAGGCATTTTGGTTTTTGGAATACTGTATATGTTGACTGGTGACATATTATGAATATGGCAGGCTGCGAGCAATCGTCGAGTATCTACGATGCATACATTTCATCTGCAAACTCTTGTGCTCCTCCAGAGGTAATGGAGGTCCCTCAAGTTGCATGCCCAGGCCCCACGGAGAGTGTCATCCTTAAGAATCGTCCAAAGAGGGTAGGTCTCACTCCTCAACACTGGAATCAGGTAGGGTTCATGAAAGATGCAGAGGCAGAACATTTGAACCAAAGGCAGCTTACTCAAACTCACATCACGAAATATACCAAAACCTCTCGATCCTCGCATTCTACAAAACTTGGGGTGGGCTTCAAAGTTCCTCAGAAGCACGAGAGATGCCTAGCACCAGGAGCTGGTGTCTATTACATGCCAAGCCGGTCGATTACCTCAAAAGGCTACGGACAAGCTTGCACCGTCGAGGCACTATCACTTCTTGCAGACGTTTCTTGCAAGCTAAAGCGCACGCATCAGCTTTCGTCCGATCTGACTTCAACCCTTTCAGAAAAGGACTATCACAAGGTAAAGTTGGACGACAGACTGAACACATTCATTTTTGTTGTATTTTAAATTACACCACAGTCTACTTCACCTTACAGAAGTTGACATAGTGCATCATACAACTAGATTTCGGTAGTGTGATTAGTCCCCCGCGAAGTAAGAGAGACCATTGCAGTACTTGAAATAATTGGTTCGTCGTGTACGTCTTTTATTGATGCAAGACGCCTACCAATAAAATATCAATAAGGACGTTGGTATCTGTACAGAAAAATTTCGCCAATCCTCATTGCAAGGAACACTACCATGATAAGCATTCAAATAAGCTACCTCTTCTTATAAAAGATAATTCATGCAAGGTACGCAGAAACTCGTTTTCCAGGAACATTTTAGAAACGCAAATCTAAACAGAGGTGTATGTATACTACTTCAACTTTGTGAATTCTAGCTGGATTACCTCCGAAAATCTCCGTGGTAAACTTTCTGAGTTATTAGCTAGTCAGGACATGTATCTTCACCCAAACGATAATGACCAATCGACTATGCAAAGCGGTGAGTCACTGATAAACAGTTTTCCGAGGTGCAGGCATTGATTTAAGGTTCTCATCAGGTGTTTTGCACTCCTGTGCAGGTTGTGCGAAAGTTGCGTACGCCTCGAAGAACATCACTGACTATATTTCCATGCCAAACCAAACCGCAAAAAAATACCAGTCTATCCAAGTGTGATGAGTTATGTTACTGCACTGAGTCGATTAGCAGTTTGGTTGACGCAGGCAGTTTACGTAACCGTCTGCCCATGGCTGATGTTTCTACGATAACTTCTACGAAATCAGAGCTTCTTTCAGAAGACAAATTTTCCTGCGACCAGCTGATGTCCAATATTGAGGCTCCTCAAGCTCAAAGTGCAACGAACCTTGAGAGGTTCTCTAAATCCCTGGTTTCCGTCGACAAATCAATATCCAAAACCGAGGTACTTCAGGCTCAAAGTGCAACAAATTTTGGGAGATTCTCCAAATCCTCGTGTCAACTTAGTGACACGAAGAAAAGAATTCGTAGAGGATTTAAGCGGACGGAGCGTTTCACCCTCCAAATTCTACAGTTCATTGGAGACTTGACTGTTCCAGAGAGGCTCATAAGGCAGGAATTGGGCAATAATCCTGATACCAGCAAAGCCCTTAGACTGTAAGACATCTCCACTGAGTCATCTCTTGTGAGGCTTGAGCATATTTTTAGCACTGATAAATTTTAAGACAATGGAAAACAAGCTGGATCGTTCGTCTACCAGTTGCACTATGGTTAGGAAGGCAACAATCCTCAGAAATTCTTTTCACATGCGATTCCTTACGTGGAGCACATAAAATATTGCGACATTTGGTACTGGAGCTCCACAATGCAACTTTATGGCAGCTAGATAGATGAAATTGTTTGTTAAGTTTCTTGCTTCCAAATTGCACTAGATGATCTTTCATCAGCTACATAACGTTTTATAATACAGGGAGTTTCTGTACATTTTCAAATTCATTTAAACAGGGACTGCTATGTTGTCGACTTTTCAGATTGGTGTCGGACCGCAAAGTCACGCGATTAGGTACTGGAGGCAGAGGTCGAGCTTATGAATACGTGGTATCTACCGATTCTTTCTCTATAATCTCTAATATCTCGGGCACATACAATTTAGCCCTCTATATACAGCGGATCCTCACCTGTCTATCAACAAATAGAAACTCGGTCGGTAAGTAAAATAAATTGACGGGAAATGCCTCACCTCCGCTTTGGAGGACTTTGAAAGTTGCAACTGATTCTGCTTTACAATTATCAGATCATACTTTTTAAGAGTGCGTGCATGTAAACTTTCTGTACAGGCCACAGAGAAAGGACTCCTACAACTTCGTGGATTGGAGCAAGCAGTTGAGGAAATCATTGATCTGACGCCTGAATCTGAAAGTGTCTCATCCTCTAATCCAGTTGCTAGCGCTACAAATGTCTCTGATGCTTGCGAACCTAAAGCACAGTGCCTCCGGACTGAAGATACAAAGATTTCAGAGCCATTGGCAGCAGACAAAAATGTGAGCCGGTCCTTATCTGTGACGCCACATTGTTTCCTAGGGTGGCAAGTGCAGGACCTAAACTCCGTCATTCGTTCAGAAACGCTTGACCTTGAGAGATCAGGTGTCACTGGATGCTCATAACGGCAGTAAAGTAATTCGGAAATTGGAATCACTTACCTATCTTACTTTCGCGTCACCAAGAATTTGTGTAGATGTAAAGAAATCCACAAATGAGATTACAGCAATATCCCCTTAACTCTGCAATTTAGGACTCAGTCAAGGCAGCTGTGAACTCTCATGAAGACTAACAGTTCCTAAAATTTGCTTCCCGACCTATTGGTTAGATACAATAGACGTGATGAAAGTCGGGAAAAACAAGTCAGAAAAACCTACAGCCCTTGCACAGCTTTATGTAGGAAAAACAAACCAAAATCGCTGAATTTTGCAGCGCGCACTGAGAATTTAGTGCGAATGCTTTCTTGGATTCTCGCGCAGGCGCGTTATCTTCACAGACTCGAAATTGATATGAATTGCAATTTCACCCAGGCAAATTGATATCACTAGGCCAACTGAGAGATTGTAATTGTTGGTCGGTGGAGAGTCCGGTACAATCCCATCAGCCGCACAATGCTGCCGGACTTAACGTCACAAAGTCTTAGGTCAGATCATAAATATAATGTTGACTTTATACATTGTCGTGTTGTAATGCGACTATATGGTGAAAGATGATAATATGGATCTTATCATAGAAGAGCCAAGTTAAAAGATAAAATAAAAAAAACATGGATAAAAGATAGGAAGGTAATAAAACTTTTAGTAGTACTGCCTTTTTAGAAAAGTGACCTCTACTTACTTTGTAGGGCCATAAATAAGGCAAAATAAAGTAGATTGGAAAAATAAATGATACAAGTATCTTTAGGAAGAAGTTAAGAATAAATTCTAGCAAAAATTATCTAGAAAAACTAGATATTGATATCCAGAGACGGCCAATTATGAACCAAGGTCGAAATCAGACCATGAGGCACAAAACCAAGCCTTGACGATGATTTTGGGATTCTTTTGCAAATCGGAGAGTAGGGTTTGATTTAAGGTTAAGATTTGGTTTAAGAATTAGAGTTTGATTTAGGATTTGATTTAGGATTAGGATTTGATTTAAGATTAGGATTTGGTTAGGAGTTGATTTAGAGTTTAGGATTTGATTTAGGATTTGATTTAGGATTTGATTTAAGATTAAGATTTGGTTAGGAGTTGATTTAGAGTTTAAGATTTGATTTAGGATTTGATTTAGGATTTAGGATTTTATTATGATTTATTTAAGATTTAAGATTTAGTTAGTTTTTGGCCTAAAATTTGAATGAATTTCAATAAGATTTTAATTAAGATTAAATTAAGATTGAATTGAGATGTATTTGAGATATATTTGTGATCATTTAAATATTTTTTTTAAGTTTTTTTTATTGCTTCTTTGTAATTCCTTTGAGATTTCTTTGAATTTAATTAAAACTTACTTAGTATTGTTATGGTCTAATTAAAATTTAGTTGCTATTCTATTAAAGTTAGGATTTTGTTATTGCAATTTGTATTCTACTTTTCATAGTCAGGTGCTTGGAGCATTCTCAAGCAAGACTCCTCGTATTATAATATATTTGGTGAATCCGACATGAAAGCTTGAAGTATAAAGTATTAAATTTTATTGGTGGTTATTGAAATTGATCATCTATTTGATGGAAAGAAGATTGATTTTGGAGCTTTTTGACTTCTTGGAGCTTTACAAACTATCTTAAAATAGAATAGAAATATTTAGATTATCATAGAATATAATAGGGCTTTATAGACATGATGGAGCATTTTAATGTATCATAAGGTATTTATTGGAGCATTTCAAGAAACATTTTTGATCATTGTAGAATAAAATGGAAGATGTGTCATCAAGAACTTTGAATAAGTCGAATATTTTGGATGGATCAAATATTAGTGATTTTTTTAAGGCTTTTTATATATTCATGGAAGAGCAACAAAGAGTGCAAGCAATTGAAAAAGATATCACAAGAGCAGTGTAAAGAGTCATCAAAAAATTTGGGAGATTTGAAGGATGCAACATTACTAAGTTTTTACAAGTTTATATATGTGAGATGGAGATATGCCAAATTCCTGAAGAAAAGATAATTTTAAGCTTCCATTTGGCTATTGAACATGGAATTCATAAAAAAATAGAGAAATTACTTGGAAGGGATATGGAGACATAGTCAAAATTTCAAGAACTTTTGAAGGAAAAATTTATTGATGGAGATGAAGATAAGATTATCAATCAAATTTTTTTGGATTTAATAGAGTTGTAAATAGGCAGGCATATGGATCTTTATGAATTCTTAGAAGAATTTGATGGGAGATTTTATCAACTCTCATCCTCAAAGAGACAATCATTGGGTGCTTTAAAGGTAGAATTATTTTTAAATGGTGTTGATGATGCTTTGAGAGACGAGCTTTTCATGCTTCTTGTACATGACTCTATGGAGAGTGGTTGTACCAATAATTGAGAAAAATTGAAGGAAGTAGTGGTTGTTTTAATAAAGAAATGAGAAGCAAAAGCTAAAGGAGTTGCAATATGGCCTAAGAAATCTTTTACTTTAGCTTCTATATCATCTTTATCAATGCAAGGGACTAATCTTAAAAAAAGAGAAATGGAAGAGCAAGTGGGGGACTTCATAGAGGAACCAATTCTTTGCAAATGAAAGAAATTAGATCTTATACCAAGGGTGGTGAAGGAAAGAACAAAGACTCTTTTCATACTATTACTATGGAAGACAAAGGTATCCAAAAATTTGAGAGAAATTTGAAGATTAAAGATTTGGAAACTAATGATAATGTGGTTGGTAGCTATAGCTATTCTACATTGAATAAGTTTATGCAAGTTGGTGATGGCAATTTGGATAGAGCATTTTTTGGTGACCAAAGCACATTTACTACATTTAAAGGAGGTGAAGTTGTTTTGTTCAGTACTTTGGATTATATTGAAGAGTTTAAGGTTGAACCTTCAAAAAAATGGATTATGAATCTATTCAAGGTTATGTTCATAGAAATTATATGAATTCACAATATTATAATGTAAGAAATTGTAGAATTATGCATGGAGATGATGATGAAAGTCAAATTACATATAGCTATGAGACTACATATGACTTGGATGAAAGAAATTATAGATTTTTACATGATCATTATAAAAAGATTTATGAAATTATACAAAGTTATGATACTAAATGTGGTTGTGAAACCACAAAGAATTATCATAAAAGTTATGAGACTTTTCAAGAGTATGAGATTTTTCAATATTATAAAATTATACAATGCTTTCAAACAACAAAAGGTTATGATATTTCTTAAGGATGCATTGGAGAAGATATGAAGGATGTTATACAAGATTATGTAGCAAATAAAGATTATGAAACAAAAGATAAGGGTACTAAGTCATTACCTATGATTAAGTTAATTGTGAGAACTTCTCTTTTGGACCAAAGTCAAAGTTACATAGATAATGCACATATAATAGGGACACAATTGGATTTTGACAAAGATAAGGTTCATCATCAAGTATAGAATTCAAAGGTGGAAAATCTAAAAATCTTAAAATATAAAGATAAAGGCAGTGGATTTAAAGATTACATAGACATCTTAAATGGAATGTGGAACCAAAGCAAAAAAAAAAAAAAAAAAAAAAAAAAAAATTTGGAGAAGTATCATTGTAAAGAAAGACTATATAGGTATAAAAGGGAGGATATTTTCAAACTACTTGCACATGTGGAGTAAATAGAAAAAATGGCATTGAAAAAAAAATAAAAAATAAAAAAAATTAGAAAAGTATCATTGTAAAGCGAGACTATGGAGGTATAAAAATGGTGGTACTTTTACAAGATATAGGTGGCTTTGATTTAAGTTTTATTGGCATTGAAAAAAAACTAGAAAAGTATCAATGTAAAGCAAGACTATGGAGGTATACAAAAAAAAAATACTCTTACAAGATATAGGTGCTTTTGATTCAAGTTGAATTAGCATTCAAAAAAAAAAAATCGAGAAAGAATTATATGAGTTAGGAACATTAGAAGATGATGAAAGATTTTTGGTATTTATCAAGAAAATGGATTGGAAGATTTTTGGATAAAATTACATCTATTAGATTAAAGGATGATGATAAGAGAAGTGAGTGAAGATATTCAAACAAAAGTAAATATAAATAAATAATAAAGACTTTTTTGAAGATATAAATCTTTCAAGACAACAAGATGATTTTGATTTGAATAGCAAATATGAAAAAGAATTGGATGAGGACATTGAAAATATTGTATGAATCAAACAAAGTTGGATAATTTGGTGTATACCAAAAGATGCACAAGTTCAAAGGGAGTAGATGTCGTGTTGTAACACAATTATATGGTGAAAGATGATAATATGGATCTTATTATAGAAGAGCCAAGTTAAAAGATAAAATAGAAAAATATAGATAAAAGATAGGAAGGTAGTATAACTTTTAGTAGTAGTACTGCTTTTTTAGAAAAGTGACCTCTATTTACTTTGTAGGACCATAAATAAGACAAAATAAGGTAGATTGGAAAAATAAATGATATAAGTATGTTTAGGAAGAAGTTAAGAATAAATTCTAGCAAAAATTATCTAAAAAAACTAGATATTGATACCCAAAGAGGGTTGATTATGAACTAGGGTCGAAATCAGATCATGAGGCACAAAACCAAGCATTGACAATAATTTTATTAAAAAAAAGAAGTCTAAAAGCTAAAAAGACTTAGCATAAGCAAGGATTGTAGTTTAAAAGAAGTGTAGAGAAAGATGATTCTTTCTTCCAACACTTTTTACTTATAGGTGGTGGTTTTCTCACTAACAAGGTAACTTTCATCTTTTGGATATTACATCCATTTCTACCTCATCCAACTAAATCCTTGATGCCACCACAATAACTTACTTTAATTCTTTGCTATCTTTTGACTATTAGCAACATACTATGCTTCATTTCTATGTGATTGTAACTAAGCAAGTACTTGCTAATCTTCAACACTCTCACTTTGTTAATATTCAAAAGGCTTTTAATCCTAATCTCTGAATCAAGTTATGATGCTTCTCCTTCACTTATGCCTTTGTAAGCACATCAGTAAGCATGTTATT